GGGTACCAGGGATTAAACTCATGAGCACTCAACCACTGAACCACATCCCCAGCCCTGTTTTGTATTTTATTTAGAGAGAGGGTCTCGCTGAGTTGCTTAGGTCCTTGCTAAGTTGCTGAGGTTGGCTTTGAACTTGCAATCTTCCTGCCTCAGCCTCCCAAGCTGCTGGGATTTTTTTTTTTTCCCTTTTTGGTGTTTTATTTCACAGTGAAACCAGATGACTTATTTGTGCTAAATGAATGGAAATACTTTCCTGTATTCCTCTATACTTATTTTCTTTTCCTCTAAGAAATACAGTATTTTGTGGCCATTTTGCTAAGATAGTCCTATAATGTCCCTTTCAAATAGTATTTTCTAATAGTATTTTGCACTTTTAAGATACTTATTAAGGCTCTTAGGAGAGCACAAAGAATGGAAAGGGAAACCACATTGGTTCTGTTACAATCCCATTGCCCCCTACAGCACACATCAAAGAGCACATCAGCCATGGAAACCACTGGTGGGCTGGACACTCATGGGCTCATGTTAGAGGGGCCAGCTTCCGGAGATCAATATTAAGGATAAAGGAAAGAATCACATCTTACAGGAAAGAATTATCCATCCCATGTATGTGGAGAAGATACACATACATGGGATGGATAACTTTAGGCTATCCGGTTTACAAGAGACATGGGTGTGGATTTAGATTGAAAATAACTTATAAAAAGTGTATTTGTAGAAAGCTCTATTAAAGGATAGGATAATATCCAGACCTGTTGAGGCTGTTGAGGTAGGGTCTGAGCTGATACTAGTACCAGGCAACCCCTAGCCAAGAGTGAATAGGAGTTGTAGGTAAATGCCCTAACTACGTCTGGGGACACACACACACACCTGCTCTGTGTGTGGTAGACACTGATTCATCCAACTTCCCACTCTACACTGAAAGTTAGATTTTCAAAGGCCTGAGATTTAGTGCTAAATTCTTGGTACGTTTGGTAAACAACATTATAATTGGAGGTACAAAAAAGACATCCCTTTTTGTTTTATAAACCTAAAAACCAGGAAAATGAAACTCTGAGACTAACCGAAAGTTTCACACTTTTGCTGTGTTACTGAGTACATACAGCGAATGCTCCAGCAGGGAATGAGTGTGCAGTAGATTCAAGGAGAACACTGATGGACGGTCATGGGGTTAGTGTGGTGAGCCACAACAGTGGCTGTGCTTCAGCCAACATTTATAACAGGAGCTGGGAAGCCTAGACAACCTGTCAGATCCACATATGCCAGGGAAGCAAGCCTTTGACATTGAATAGATTGGCTTTGATGGACATGTCCCAGCTTGAAATTCAGACAAAGCATGTACATAAGGATCCTTTTACTGTTCCCTTAATCCAGTTTCACTATATGTAAAAATAGCATTTTTCAAACTGGGTGCTACAACTGATCTTATATGTTAGGGCCCAGATTTATAAAAAAAGCAATAGTATAGCAGAATAGGAAAGTAGAGGATTCATTGCATGTGTTTCCTGTGTGCTAGGGTTAAATGCCATTTTATGAAACTTATTACAATACACACATGTCTGTGTTGGGTGACAATATTCAATGTACTTCATGCTCCAGGTTTTAGGTAGAAAAAAAGATTGAAAACTACCGTGTTGTTTAATATTAGGAAAGGTTTCAGACATGATTGCACAAAATAAGCACCTGAGGAGCTTGCTGAGTGACTGATTCTATGACCCGATTTTAGACTATTAAGAACAAGCTCCAGTCGTGGGCCAAGGAATCTGCTTTAACATACTCCCTGTGATTCTCACCCTTGGGATGTTTGGGAGCCACTGATTGGTGTGTGAGTGGCCCTTGTGAGCTCCTTGGGAATTTTTGCATGAGGGCCAGTAGAGAGCAGCTCCTGGCATGCATTTGTCCCCACCTCTCAGTGCTTTCTGTAGGAGGGACACACAGAGTTGCAGGGAAGCCATATCATAGGGTAGGCCTGGAGGTGGTGGGGCCTAGGGACAGACTGGGAGTGTCCTGCTGGTTGTTAGAATGACAGATGTGAAATAGCTCTGTGCTCATATTTCTATTATAGAATAAGTTAGCAAGTGGGGTGTAGTGGTGCATGCTTGTAACCCCAATGACGCGGGAGGCTCAGACAGGAGGATCGCAAGTTTAAGGCCCGCCTCAGCAATTTAGTGAGGCCCTAAGCAACTTTTGATACTCTGACTCAAAATGAAAAATAAAAGGGGCTAGGGGTGTAGCTCAGTGGTTAAGCACCTTTGGGTTCAATCCCCAGTACCCCCCCACACCCCCCCGCACTAATCAGCATATGTTGAATGGCTATTGCTTTTTCCCCAATTATGAGAATTGTTAAGCTTAAAATTCATGAACACATGTGCACTAGCCCATGTCAAGCTAATTCCTTGATATGTTCCAAATCATGGTCTCAAGAGAGATCAAGTTGAAATCATTCATGACTTTCCAGCACCTTTTACTCAAAAAGCTAACGATGATTACTGTCATCAAGACTGGGCTGTCCTTAGCCAGGGGCCATGAAGCAGTAGTGCTGTGTGGGCGGTGCAGGGAGAGCTCCATTTGTCCTGAGCGAAATGAGAGACTGAGCTTCTCAGTGACTTCCTTTTACAGTCAGCTGTCTCACAGATCAGTGAGTGGAGTGGGACCCTTGTGTAGACTGGGCTTTGACACGCGGAATGCCAAAGTGGCTTGTCGAAGTCAGTGGTAAGTCAGTGACATGATGTAGTCACTCTGCAGTCTCTGCTCTCCGCACAGCATCTAGGCATCATAGCATCTAGGGAGTGGGCTTGGTGAGGAGCTTGGGTTGTGGTCTTCAGGGAGCTCCACATTTTCAGCTGAGGATGAAACGTCTTTCTTTATGTCTCAGCCCACAATGCTTGTTGGCTGTTCTCCTACTGCTGTGTAGGAGACCACCCCAAAACTTAGTGACTTAAAACATCCGCCACCAGCTCATGTCCCCTGCTTCCGCAGTCTGCACAGAGCTCCCCAGCGGTGGCTACTCTGCTCTTCAGGATTTCAGCTGGATTCACCTGAGGGCACTTGGGAGCTCGGCTTCCTCCTAGGCTTCCTCCTAGCATGACTGCTGGAAGAACTTAAGGGGCCAGAAGCAGAGGCTGTGGGGTCTCTGAAGGCCTGGGCTCAAGTCTCAAGTGTCACTTCTACCACCTTGTTATGCTCAGAGAAAATCATAATTAGCCCAGTTTCTGGTGGGAGGAGTATAGGTTCTACCTTTTGGTTGCAAAAGTGTCACACACATTTGTGGACAGGAGGAGTGTTCACCTGTGCCTTTGGAGAGGGGTCCACTGCCCTTTTTCCCCTCTCTCCTCCCTCTTCCTCTCCCTCCCAGGATCTTCCCTGGCCTGCTCGTTCATTTAGTCCTTCTTCCATCTAAATGTGCCCACTCTAACCTTTGTTATCAAACATCAACATGTATTTTGTTTAAAGACTAAAGATCTTCTCTGATACCCTTTGTGCTTTTCCAGTGCTTCCAAATGGTGTTTTCACATCTGTGTAGGAAATCACCCCAAAACTTAGTGACTTAAAACTATGTTACAGTTTTTTCCTCTTAAACAAGGACGTCATTTGCCACACTAAGTGCTTGATTTTTCTTGTTTCTCTCCCTGATGACCAGGAGTGTGAGGAAGAGGCTGTCTGTGTCATTATGTGTGCGTCGGTCAAGTACAATATCCGGGGTCCTGCCCTCATCCCAAGAATGAAGACCAAGCACCGAATCTACTACATCACCCTCTTCTCCATTGTCCTCCTGGGCCTCATTGCCACGGGCATGTTTCAGTTCTGGCCCCACTCCATCGAGTCCTCAAATGACTGGAGCGTGGAGAAGCGTAGTGTGCGGGACGTGCCAGTGGTCAGGCTGCCAGCCGAGAGTCCCATCCCTGAGCGAGGGGACCTCAGTTGCAGAATGCATACATGTTTTGATGTCTACCGCTGTGGCTTCAACCCAAAGAACAAAATCAAGGTGTATATCTACTCTCTGAAGAAGTATGTGGACGACCTTGGTGTCCCGGTCAGCAACACCATCTCCCGGGAGTATAATGAACTGCTCACGGCCATCTCAGACAGCGATTACTACACCGACGACATCAGCCGGGCCTGCCTGTTTGTGCCCTCTATTGACGTGCTCAACCAGAACACACTCCGCATCAAGGAGACCGCGCAGGCACTGGCCCAGCTCTCCAGGTACCACGCTTAGAGGGCCAGTGCCTGGGATAGGAGCGCTTCTCCTTCTGAGCTGGCCTCCCTGTGCTGTCTTCTCTAGGAGCGGGCAGTGAGCAGTGGGCAGTGGGCCGGTGGCGGGAGGGTGAGGCAGTCCTCATCTCCAGGGCCGTTGCCGTTGTTCCCAGCTTCGTAGAGTTTGCAAACCAAGGACGGTTCTTCTTCCCATGCTTTTCCTTAAAAAATGTAAATACACTGCCCCCTGCCTGTCCCAAGCACTGACAGAGCACACATTTATGTTACATAGTCTGAAAATACAGATAAGCAAAAGAAGAATGTAAGATTAATTCTATAATTCTGCCTCTAAGAGGTAGTCATGATCAAT